CAGCTGGTCCTGGGGGTACCAGACTGTGAACTCAGGGTTGATGATAATTTTGCGATTCCCTGTTTCTTCACTTGGTTCAACGGCGATCGTCTGGCTTGGTGCAGGCATGGAACCATCCACAAAACCAACAAGGTTTTGGCTACGCAAGTAGGGAAGGATTTGGGTAGACCACAGTAGATAATTTTCTTGTGTAAGCTTAACACTAATCACCTGACTGATCGACGGAGAAGACATTGTGTTGATTGGGATTGACATGTTTAACAGCAGAGGCTATGGATCTCGTGGATCTTATTTGAGCTCTGATACCATATCAAGTTTATGCAAAACTGTACCTCACACTATTGAGGACATATTCTATTTATATTGGCAAAAGATTAACTAATAGATCCGATTTCATAGGAAACTAACGAAGTAAGCCTATTCTTATGGCATGACCAACTTCAAGCTATTCTAATGGATTGACCAATTCTAACAGTGTGCTCCTTATGCACCCAGGAAATTCGGTGTCGATGGATAGGATATGGTTAGCTTGAAGGCAGCGTTCGAGGCTGAGGATTTCATGATCGAAATTGGAAGCCCAAACTTCTTGGATCGAAGGTGTTCTTCTTCTCGGACGCGCTCTATTTCTTCTACCCATTTGATTCAATCACTGTAAAATCTCTCTGTTCTTGGTTTGCTGTTATAGAAGAAGACCCTTTGGGGGTTTCAGTAAAGGAAAATATTTCCTTATATGAACATTAATTTCAGATTTTGTAATTTTACTTTCTTTCTTCTTTTTATAATTTCATGGTTTAAAAGTATAAAATAAAATTAAAATGATTATTTAAGTGGCGTCCAGTGTAGCCCCAGGAATCGAACTCGACTAGCCTTCGGTTTTTTCTATCTCTCGACTTCGTATTTCCCTCTTGTCGTCCCACCTCCCTTGTTATAGATTGTGCGTGCTTCACAAGTTGTATCATCTTACTCCCTCACATAGTCTTCGTCGTATCATCGATCGTGATCTCGTTTATGCACAGTTGCATAAATCATAAACTTATATTAACATATTTCTCATTTTTGAATGATTGCTTCTCCTCGCTCTCGAGTTTTATCATTGTAGCATCACTCGTCATCGTTCTTTTTTTTTTTTTTTTTTTTTTTTGTAGATTTTTCTCTCTCAAAGTAATAAGTTTGTGTCCCCGTTAAGGATGAGCATGAGCTTGTTTTCTCATATTGATTCTTTTCCCTTTTCTTCTCTAGCTTATTTTCGTCTCTTCCATTTCAATGTGATTGTGAGATCCTTCGTCAGTTAGAGGGGAATGAAGCATTCCTTACAAGAGTGTGAAAATTTCTTTCTAGTGACGCGTTTTAAAACCGTGAGGCTGACGGTGATAAGTAATGGGCCAAAACAGACAATATTTGTTAACCGTAGGGTGATGCTATTGCAAACAGTATTAGAGTCAAGAAAATTTGTATCCAATCATATATTTTAATGGGAAGAAAATGTTGAAGATAATTTCAATTCATGTCACGAACAATAAAATTTAATTTTTATAAATTTTGGGTGGATTATAATTTAGAGTTATTGATTTCATTAATATATTTTATGACTTTTTATTTAGTTTAGTTACATCTAATAGTATTATTTTGAGGTTATATAGAGCAATGTATATTGTATTGGTAAGTAGACTTGAAAAATACAGTAAAAGGAATGTCTAACCAATGACTAAGTTTCTTTTCAATTCTATAACATGTATAATCTTTTACACGATTGGAGTGATTCAAATCTTAAAAAGGTAATTTGAATCTTACCATACTTATAGTCATTCTTATTATTTAGTTGTGGAGTGTGGATTGTGATGCCCCACATTGGCTGGGAGAAGAACGAAACACCTTGTAAGAATATGGAAACCTTTCCCATACTATACGACGTTTTAAAGCCTTGAGTGGAAATATAAAAAAAAGGACAATATATAGTAGCTGTGTATCTCGAGTAAAACCAAATTTGCAAATGGTGCAAAGTTTATTACTACTTTATACAAAATTACAAAATCAAAATCACTACTGAAACTGCTAACAAGAAACCTAGAATGGATATCAAAGATGAAATCATTGATACATAATGTTGGAGGCCTTGTAATAATAAAATTGCCCTATCTCACACTCCTGTTGAACAAATCTGAGGTGTGATTGCAAGACCTTGAACTCCTTGAATTTCTTCGACAGCTCATATTCATCGCAAATTTTCGCATAAAAAAGTTTTAACATCTTCTTACGAATCACCATAGCTTTCACTTCCGCACACTTAATTTGAACATATATGCGATGTGATTGCATGCCCACGAACTCCTCGAATTTCTTCGACAGCCCATACAAAAACCCATCGCAAATTTCCGCATTGAAATCATACAGTTGCAACATCTTCTCATGAAGCAGCGCAGTCATTAAACTATCAGAACCAGCGTGATGCTTCAATCCAAAGCGTTTTTGGTCCAGCAATTGCCCTAACTTCTCGAGTCCTAAATTCCCCCCTTCAAGCCCTTCGCAGAATCGCGCCATATGCTTTAAATCCCTCACGGTCCCCACTCTCCTCGCCACGATCCATTCGAATTCGCCCAATGTTTCCGGCAAGCTTTTAACCACGCCCAACGCCAATATCAGATATCCAATATCGTATAATCCGTGAAATGTAATCCACTGGTGTATCGCATGCTTTCGCATCGTATATAAGAATCTTATTGCAAATTTTCTCACCTTAATTCCATCTTTTTTCAGTTTCCCAAAATCCAAGCCGTTCTGTTTCAGAAAACAAATGGACGCAGGGTTATGAGCGTCGATTTCAGGATCGAAGTCAGAGAAATTAAACTCCCATGTACCGCCGATGTTCCCTGATTCATCAGAAACTGTCACACCTAGTTGAATCACTTTGGTTTGGTTGACATTGAATCGAAAATCTGCGTAGAGTTCTTCATCAATCGTGCCCCAAGGAGTTCTCTTAATACACCCAGGAAATTCAGTATCGATTGACATAACTGGGTACAATAGCAGACAATGGTCGAGCCGAAGGATTTCATCATCGAGATTGTAAGCCCAAACTTCTGTAATCAAAGGGTTATCTCCTCTCGGACCTTGAACAATTCTATCCATTGCGTTCGAAAATCTGTCTGTTTTTGTTTTTTAATTTGCTGTGCGTGTGTTATTCGTCGAATCAAACTTCTCCGATATGCGACGAATGAAGAATATTTATAGCAGAAATATAATTATGTTTGTTTACAAATTTCCTTATCTTGATCGGAGAGCGAAAAAGATAAAAGCTGTAGATTTGAATTTATATGAAAAAAAAATATAGGATCGTTGGTATTTCGAATAATATTTTTATCATGTGAATATGGAGCTTTTTTTAGGTGAATTATTTTCTATTAAATTTAATAAATAAATTAAAGCTGTATTTATATTTATCGTTAAAATACAACCAAATATAAATATTTATTTCCACTCATAAATTTGAAATTTAATCTCTTATCTTATCTTTAGTTTTGAAAATATTACATGAAAATTAGTTAAAAACTTAGTAATTAAATTAATTAATAGAAAACTAACAAAGATAATTAAAAGTAGTAAATATAGTAAAAACTCGAGATTAGGAGTCTGATAACTCGACCAATTCAAGCAATCCAATCTAAATCGTAAAGGTCAAGTCAGGTCAGGTCAGATTAGATTATTATTATTTTTTTTATTTTTATTATTTGTTGTTTGAATTGAGTTGAATTTTTTGGAAACTGGAAAATTTGTATCCAATCATATATTTTAATGGGAAGAAAATATTGAAGATAATTTCAATTCATGACACGTTGAAAAACAATAAAGTTTAATTTTTATAAATTTTGGGTGGATTATAATTTAGAGTTATTGATTTCATTAATATATTTTATGACTTTTTATTTAGTTTAGTTACATTTAATAGTATTATTTTGAGGTTATATAAAGCAATGTATATTGTATTTGTAAGTAGACTTCAAAAATACAGTAAAAGAAGTTTTTGTGCTGTCTAACCCATGACTAAGTTTCTCTTCAATTCTATATAACTTATGTTGCATTTATAATCTTTTACAGGATTGGAATGATTTGAATCTTACTATACTTGTAGTGATTCCTTATTATTTAGTTAGTTGTGGAGTGATTCAAATCTGTTAATTTGAATCTTACTATACTTGATTCCTTATTATTTAGTGTAAGAGTTAGTTTGATTCCTTATTATTTAGTATTAGAGCTCGTGTGGTGATTTCCTTAGGCATTAGAACTTCCTTTTGGATTGATTCTATAGTATGATTTAGTCTAATAATTCCGACACAACTGAATCAGATTACACTTCAAAACTATTCTAATTTTAAAATTATTATAAACATTAAAAATATTTAGCAATTTCAACTCAATTACAAGTGGTTGGATAACTAAAATTGGGGAAAGATGTAAACTTACATCAACTTAGTTTCATATGTTTAAATCTGTAATTTTTATGGGTACTTATGTTGAGAAATCACATATCTCCACAATTGTATTAAATCTGGATTATTTCCTAAATTAGTCAAGGTGGGACCCACTCCCAATAATCCTCGACAATTCCCGGAAGCGAGGTTGACACGAGACGGTGTGCCAGTAAGAATGCTGGCCACAAAGGGGGTGGATTTGGTGGCGGTCCCACATCGATTGAAGAAAGGAACGAGTGCCAGCAAGGACGCTTGCCCCAAAGGAGATGGATTGTGATGTCTCACATTGGAAGGGAGAAGAACAAAACACCTTTGTAAAAATATGGAAACCGTCCCTACTAGACGCGTTTTAAAGCCTCGAAGGAAAACAAAAAAAAGATAATATATGCTAGAGGTGTATCTTGAGTAAAACCAAATTTGCAAATGGTGCAGAGTTTATTACTACTTTATACAAAATTACAAAATCAAAATCAAAATCTACGTAAACTACTGAAACTGCTAACAAGAAACCTAGAATGGATATCAAAGATGAAATCATTGATACATAATGTTGGAGGCCTTGTAATAATAAAATTGCCCTATCTCACACTCCTGTTGAACAAATCTGAGGTGTGATTGCAAGACCTTGAACTCCTTGAATTTCTTCGACAGCTCATATTCATCGCAAATTTTCGCATAAAAAAGTTTTAACATCTTCTTACGAATCACCATAGCTTTCACTTCCGCACACTTAATTTGAACATATATGCGATGTGATTGCATGCCCACGAACTCCTCGAATTTCTTCGACAGCCCATACAAAAACCCATCGCAAATTTCCGCATTGAAATCATACAGTTGCAACATCTTCTCATGAAGCAGCGCAGTCATTAAACTATCAGAACCAGCGTGATGCTTCAATCCAAAGCGTTTTTGGTCCAGCAATTGCCCTAACTTCTCGAGTCCTAAATTCCCCCCTTCAAGCCCTTCGCAGAATCGCGCCATATGCTTTAAATCCCTCACGGTCCCCACTCTCCTCGCCACGATCCATTCGAATTCGCCCAATGTTTCCGGCAAGCTTTTAACCACGCCCAACGCCAATATCAGATATCCAATATCGTATAATCCGTGAAATGTAATCCACTGGTGTATCGCATGCTTTCGCATCGTATATAAGAATCTTATTGCAAATTTTCTCACCTTAATTCCATCTTTTTTCAGTTTCCCAAAATCCAAGCCGTTCTGTTTCAGAAAACAAATGGACGCAGGGTTATGAGCGTCGATTTCAGGATCGAAGTCAGAGAAATTAAACTCCCATGTACCGCCGATGTCCCCTGATTCATCAGAAACTGTCACACCTAGTTGAATCACTTTGGTTTGGTTGACATTGAATCGAAAATCTGCGTAGAGTTCTTCATCAATCGTGCCCCAAGGAGTTCTCTTAATACACCCAGGAAATTCAGTATCGATTGACATAACTGGGTACAATAGCAGACAATGGTCGAGCCGAAGGATTTCATCATCGAGATTGTAAGCCCAAACTTCTGTAATCAAAGGGTTATCTCCTCTCGGACCTTGAACAATTCTATCCATTGCGTTCGAAAATCTGTCTGTTTTTGTTTTTTAATTTGCTGTGCGTGTGTTATTCGTTGAATCAAACTTCTCCGATATGCGACGAATAGAGAATATTTATAGCAGAAATATAATTATGTTCGTTTACGAATTTCCTTATCTTGATCGGAGAGCGAAAAAGATAAAATTTGTAGATTTGAATTTGTAGCAAAAAAAAATATAGGATCGTTGGTATTTCCGATAATATTTTTATCATGTGAATATGGATTTTTTTTTAAGCTCAATTATTTCCCTTTTAGATTAAATTTAATAAATAAATTAGACCGTTAAAATGCAATAAAATATATTATTTGGTATTTCGGATAATATTTTCTCATTGAATAGGAGTTTTTTAGCTGAATTATTTCCCTTTGAGATTAAATTTAATAAATAAATTAAAGTTGTATTTAGACAGTTAAAATGCAATAAAATATATTATTTCATCTTTTAACTTATTAAAAAAATATTTGTTGTCACTCATAAATTTAAAATTTAATTTTTATCTTATTTTTATTTTTCAAAATATTACACTTTTATCTTTGGAAATTAGTTTAAAACTTAATAATTAAATTAACTAATAAAAAATTAACAAAGATATTAATAGTGAATAGAGTGAAAATGATTAGGGGTGTTCAAATAGTCTGACTCAACCAATTCCGGCAATCCAATATAAATGTAAAGGTTAGGTTAGATTATTATTATTATTATTATTATTATTATTATTATTATTATTATTTGAATTGAGTTGAATTTTTTGGAAACGAAAAATTTTGTATTAAATATGAACTATGAGATATCAATCATACAATATATTTCAACGAATATGTGAAGAAAATGTTATTGAAATTATCAAAAGATATTTCAATTCATGCCACGTTAAAGAAAATAAAGTTTCATTGTTATAAATTTTGGGTGGATTATAATTTAGACGTAATGTATTTCATTAATATATTTTAAGACTTTTTATTTAGTTTACTTACGTTAATTATGATGAGTTTAATAGTTTTATTTTGAGATTATATAATACCAGGTACGTTGTATTTATAAGTAGACTTGAAAATATAGTAGAAGATGTTTTTGTGCAAATATAGTAGAAGATGCTCTTGCTTTTCTTTACCAATGACTAAGTTTCTTTTCAATTCTACGTAGTTTAGGTTACATGTATAATCATTCAAGCTTGACTGGATCAATTTTTGAGTGATTCAAATCTCAAACAAGTATTCTTGTCTTGAGATATTCGATCAACAAGCTAATTTGAATCTTATTTCCCTTGTAGTGATTTTTTATTATTTGGTGTAAGGGTTTTCTTATAGTTTGATTCCTTATCATTAGAGTTTTTTTCCTTATCATTTGGCATCAGACATTTCACTTGAGTTGATTCCATATCATGTTTTAGTTTAGTCATCCCCAAACCAACTCGAAAATAAGGTTACAATCCAAATCTATTCTAATTTTAAAATTATTATAGAAATTAAAAATATTTATCAAGATTAAACTTGAGGTATTACAAATGGTACTAAACAATATTTATTAGCAGTGGACTTAAAGCTATTACAAGTGGTATCAGAGCCAGGGAGTGTGCCAACAAAAACGCTGGCTTCCAAAAGGTGGATTGTGAGATCTCACATGAGTTGGGGTGAGAAATGAGACATTCCTTATCATGGAGTAGAAATCTCTCCCTAGTATACGTGTTTTAAAACCGTGAGACTGACGACAATATGTAACAAGCCAAAGCGGATTTAATTCAAACAAAATTCTATATTGCCTTGAAATTATTTTAGACACTATAAAGTTGATTTTTGTCCAACATTATGATCGAATACATTATTGTATCTTCTAAAATATATAAATATATATATATATATATTTTTTAAACAAGTGGTAAAATTAAAAAATAAATGGGTACTTAGACAGGACTAAACTTATTATAAAAATCTATTATTTTAACTTAATTTTTACCGTTAAAAAAAAAAAAAAAAAAAAACAATTTTTGGTTTAAACTGAAAAAGGAAAGAACGAAGAAGCAAGTGGAAGAAGACCGGGAGTTCTACGCGGCAACCTCGACGAATGCCACGCGCTCTGTATGCTAACCGACACGCTCTGTATTTCCTTCCTTCCTACGATTTCCCTCTCATAAATATCTGCAACTCTCTTCTCCGGCGATCAATCAATCTTCATTCCGATCATTTCTAAACACTTCTGAATCCATATATGTCTTCTTCTTCTTCTTCTTCAGCACCTTCCCTCTATCCCGCCGTCGACATGAAAGACCTCGCCGAGAATCTCTTCCCCGAAGAAGACGCCCCTGTTTCCGATCAAAAACACCATGATTCCTTCGAGCAAGTCCTCGTCAAAATTCCAGGCGTTATAGTCCACTTGATCGAAAAACAAAACAGCGTCGAACTCGCTTCTGGTGAGTTCTCGATCGTCGGTCTCAACCAGGGGAATAACGTCGTTGCCGTACTCGCTCGTGTTGGGGATGAGCTTCAGTGGCCATTGGCCAAAGATGAACCCTCCGTGAAACTTGACGATTCTCACTACTTCTTTACTCTCAGCGTTCCCCCAAATGGATCGTTGGAAAATCACGATTCAGCGCCCGAAATGTTGAACTACGGTCTGACCGTCGCGTCGAAGGGACAGGAGGAGCTATTGAAGGAGTTGGATCGGATTTTGGATCAGTACAGTTGTTTTTCGGTGCAGACGGTGAAGGGATCGGGGAAATGGGAGGTTCTGGATGGGTCAGTGGCTAGGGAAATTTCGCCGGAGGATATGGCCGCATCGGAGGAGAAGAAGGAGTTACTGGAAGAGAGATCGGCGGCTTATTGGACGACGTTGGCTCCCAACGTTGACGACTACAGTGGAAAGGCTGCGAGGCTGATTGCGGCGGGTTCTGGCCAGGTGATTAAGGGAATTCTGTGGTGTGGGGATGTTACTGTGGATAGGTTGAATTGGGGCAATGAGTTCATGAAGAAACGAATGGGGCCTCGTTCTGATGCAGAGATCAGTCCAGCCGCCATGAAAAGTATCAAGAGGTTTGCAATCGTTTTACCCCTTTTTCATTGTAATTACGCACTGAAAATGATCGTAGTTTAGAGATTGAAGTAATGAAGAACTGGAAATTGATGGGATTATGGTGTTCTTGTGGTTCTGTTTCAGTGTAAAGAAGCTAACGAAGATGACGGAGAAAGTGGCGACTGGAATACTTTCTGGGGTTGTGAAGGTGTCTGGATTCTTCACAAGTTCAATAGTGAACTCTAAAGTTGGGAAGAAATTCTTCAGCCTTCTACCTGGAGAAATTGTCCTTGCTTCATTGGATGGATTCAGTAAGCTCTTCAACTCTCATCCCTTTACTTGTTTTCTTAACCTATGTCTTGAATTATTGCTTGAGATTGCTGTTATTTGTATCTTCATCAAGCTGAAGTCTCTTAATATAGGAACTTGATTGGTATGGATTAGTGCTTAAGTTGTTAGTTTTAGTTGCTTTTAAGAGTCTGATCTTCGGGATCAACCTTAATGAATTATGGCATAACGGGTTGGTGTAAGATCTATAGCCTGCTTTGCTCTTTAATTGAAACTGGGATTAGGCATGGTATAGTTCGATAGGAGAATCTCTTTCTATGTTAGTGTGTGGGGTGTCACAATCCCACTCTTGTGGTAGTGGGATAGCGATTGTGCGGCACTTGTTCTAACTTAGTGAATAAGTCAGCTGTGAGAAATTTGGACTTCGGGATAATGCCGGGGCGTATGCTCGAGTCTCGACTTACATTTGCGAGAAATGTTTTAAAAAATGTGAGGAGGAAATAGATTTGAAAGGGAGTTTGAAAGCAAGGTTGCAAAAAGTTCGAGAGTCGTTATATGGCTATAAGTAAAGAAAGAAACACCATAGCTTATATATCATATAACTTGGGTAGGAAAAATTAACAACTAGTCACATTTCCCTGTAATATATTTTAGGGCTAAGCATTTTAGCCCTAGTGTGTTTAGACATGGTTTTGGTAACCGGTTATGCACCTCGCATTGATACAACATGAAGTATTAAGGACCTATCTAAGATGAAAGCAAGTAAAAGGGGTTTGGAACAGGTATGCGCGCACGTCCCGGTCATGCATGACCGTGGATGGGGTAGGCCTTTCTTTTAGCTACAAATGTCATTTAACTACTTGTCTGAGATGCTAGCTACAAATGTCATTTAACTACCTGTATGAGATGTAAAGCTCATGAAGCAAATGTTGTGCTCCAATCAACTTATCAGTTTGGGAGAAGTTGAAAATGGGCTCAAACAACAGATATTGAACTGAGTCAAACTACGTTCAATGATGCAAACCGACCCAGTTCAATCCGTCGTGATGGGTTTGGCCTTGAGTGCCTAAACCCCAACATCTGCTATCCGATTTCATTAAATACACACGCATTTGATTAGATCATGTCATATCTGAAAATGAACGAACCCAGAAGTGGTTTACTGATTATGAATCTTGTATGATGATGAACAGACAAGGTATGCGATGCAGTTGAAGTAGCAGGGAAGAATGTGATGTCAACCACAGCCGTTGTGACCACAGGCCTTGTTTCAGACAGGTACGCCACTGGGAACTCCCATCTTGGAGGAGAATTTAGTGTGTCATGTTCTTCATAATCTGATCCACTGTAATACAAAATGCAGATATGGAGATCAAGCAGCCCAAGCAACGAATGAAGGGCTTGGCGCAGCAGGGCATGCGATTGGAACAGCGTGGGCTGTTTTGAAGATCAGAAAGGCTCTAAACCCAAAAAGTGCTTTCAAGCCCACCACTCTTGTAAAAGCAGCTGCCCACTCCAATTCTTCTAAATAATACCTCTGTTCATACTTGGATTCTTTTCTTTCCTCCTCGTGTGTAATTTATTGTCCAACATTGTGGGTTTCTTATAATTGTTTGTGAACTCGTTGAGTGCTTAGAATCATGGATCATTGATGTTAATCAAAATTCGATTTTACTCCAATTTTTTTTTATGGAGTTAAAAATCATGACCTTCCACGATAGTATGATAATGTCCATCTTAGTTTATTCTTTTTTTACATAATAATAAAAAAAGTTAGAATTATTTCAACTTCACCTAATTCTTTTAAATCGAAAATAAGTTTTTAGAACTTTTTAATTTTCATTCAACCCTTTTATTTTAGTCTATTCACTAAAAAATTCAGATTATAATATATATATATATATATATATATATATATATATATATAATTGGATAATGTTAGAAAAAAACATAGACGAAATAAGTGAGGGGAAGTTCAAGTGGTAGAGAAAACATCACATATCTTCTTTGCAATTTTCTTCAATATTTATTTTCCACCTTATCTCAATTGGAAAACGATTTGATAATTATTTTTTATATCAAAATTTCAAAAAATTGGCAACCGTAGTTCGAGAGTTCGCTATTTCTTTTTCATTTTGTAGGTTACACTTTTTCGATACCGATGAAAATTTTTCTCTACTTTATTAGATCGAAAAAAGTCAAAATTGATTGATATGATTTTGAAAGTAAACAAAAAAAAAAATGAATAACTAATTCAAAACCTTCTCGAGAGAACTTGCTTGGGAAGAAAAAGACTAATCTCAAATAAATATTATGGAATAATGTTTGATCTTACGATGATTTTGTAAATATTCCATTCCAACAAGAGACGGTTGAAAATCTTTGGCATGGGTGAAACCCGAAGTACCCAATCCTTCGCCTCAAACACGAGTTAGGATTTGGAAGTCAAACTCATCCGAACTCGAACCGTGCTCGAAAATGCTGGCTAATTTTCTTTTTATTTTTTGTTCTCTCTCTAAGTCATACTTTTCTCTCACTAAATCATAGACTAATAGTATAGATCTTACCAACCTTATTAATTACCTTTTTCTTTTCCTTTAACTCAAACCTTTGTGTTATATTTATTCCCTTAAAATATTATACGTGCTCTTCTATGGATGGAATGTCGAGTTAAAAGTTTTCTTGAAAAATAATAAATAAAGTAAGCTATAAACTCATATTTTTTTACCGATTTTCAATATTTTACTCGAACATTATTTATTTTTAGATATCATCTCTTTATTTATTTTTTAATTCTATATATAATTTTATTTTGAATATATTTATAATTAATTAGTTAAGTTAATTTAAAACAATTAAATAATTTTGGTAAAATTTGTATTAGTTAATGAAAATTAAATTGGTTAAATTATTTAATAATTTGGCTTAATAAAAAAATTAACAAAAATATTGTTAATAACTGTGTAACCAAACCTAAATTCCATTAAAATTTATTTCATCATAAATATTATTATTACTGTTTTTTTTTTCTTTTCTTATTAAAAAATGATAACCACCCTAATCTAAAATAAGGGTTATGAGTTGACATTCACTAATTGTGTGGTTACATGGTGTATGGTGACGTGTCAAATTAATTGTTCTAATCTAATTTCATTCACACGTGTAACATAAAAAAATGTATTTTTTTTAGTTATTTAATTAATAACTACACCATTTGTTTAAAATGGTATTATTTTAACGTGTAATAATAATTAATATATGTCTAGATTAAAAAATTGAATGTTACTCTAAAAATAAACTTAATAATTAATTAGTATCTTATTATTTACCATTTATTTATTTAAATTTAGATGTTTTTTTAAACTAAATTAAGAAAAATACAACTAAAAAAATAACATAATATCCTAATATTAAAAATATATATTTTTATAATTAATTTCATGGTTACTACTTTATTTAAAAAATATATTTAAATTTTAAATTTGTTTAAAAAAATATGGTTGTAGTTAATTTTAGATAAAAATTATTAATACTCTATTTAAAAAATACTAATTTTTTTTTAAAAAAATCGTTCTCTTACCAAAAAAATATATTCTTAAATATTTTAAAATTATAATAATACCTTAGTTTAAAAAATAAAATTAAAAATTCTTACCATGAAATACAAGAGTAATTTTAAAATAAGTCTGTAAAATGAACAATATTATATTTTTGAAAGATTTAATAATATAATCTTGTTTTAAATTTTATTATTGTTTTGTTAAGGTTTTGGGCATGTAAATAAATTTTAAATTTTAATAGATTCCACGTAAGATGACACGTAAGAGGAGGTTGACGTGACAAAAGAAAATAATAGGTCGGTGGAAGGATGGCATGTGATGTGGTGAGGGAGGTGGGTCCCACGGAGGGAACTAACGCACATGATGATGAATAGAATTAATTACATTATATAATAATATACCCCAAGAAGAGGGGAGGCTTGGTTTGGTTTTGGTTTGGTTTGGTGGGGTTAGGTTAGGTTAGGTACCATCTCCCGACGCTGACGTTTTGATGTCACTTTTCCTCTTTTGCCCCTATCACTCCTTTTTTATTACATCTTTACCCCTCTCCCCCATTCCGTTCCCTTTTCATTACGTTTTAAAAATTATATACAAAAAAAATAATTTAACTAAATTTTGTATCTAATAAAGTATTAAAGGGTAGTTTGTGAATTTTTATTATACAGGTTTAAATGACTCGAAAATTCGATTAATCTACACTACTTAACCCAATCATAGTTTTTTTACTGTTTTTTTTTGAGATAATTGAATTTTTTTAATTTTAAAAATTGAGGTTGCGATTTGAACCCAATCCGAAAATGGTTACAGCCTAATTCAACCCTACTTTTAAGATTAATGAATGATTAAAAATATTTATATTATAGACTAAATTTATAATTTATAGTTTTTTATATAAAATTTGTATCATATTAATCGTGTCCGAGATAACTTGTATCAAAACTAGGTAAAAAAAGTGTTTATGTTCTAAACACGTTGTTATCCATTCTATATCGGTCTTGTTATGAATTTTAAAACTAAATTATTATATATTAAAATTTAATAAATATTTTTTTTACATATACTTATTTGAATTTTTTTGAATTTTTTTGTTTTGCATTTCTCATTTTGGAAAAGTGATCCAATTTTCAGTTTTTATTTTTATATAAGTAATTTTATATTTAAAATAAATAAATAAGGAGGAAAACAATATTAATAACGAAATATCTATTCAAAACCCTAAATTAATTCATATTTTTTTTAAATAAAATTAGAAGAATGAATTTGGTCCTTTACTTACTTTGCAAGCTATCTTCTTTCACTCGGATTTTACTATCTCGTTTATTTTTTCAAACATGGTAAACAAGTTTAATTTTTTTTTTATCATAATGTGAAAGTAAAACTTTATGGGTGACGAATGGAACAACCACCACAAGGTCTCGAATTCTGTGAACTAATCCATCCAAACTTAATGAAAATGCGTGAATTTGAAATGAAAAAAATGTGGAAATAAAACTTTGGAATATAATGAAATATGTGATATAAACTTTGGAATAAAATGAAAGGTGAGGAATGGGAGAGTGGAGGGAGAAAAATATCTGGTGGAAGCTTCTATTCTCTCAACCTAACCCCTTTAGAAAAAGAGACACAAAAAGGGTGAAGACTTGAAAAAGTGTTCTCTTTTTGGCCCATCCTATTTAATTTCCCATTCATTTATCTAATAATTTTTTATTTATCTTATTATTATTATTATTATTATTATTATTATTATTATTTTATTCTTTTTCTTTTTTCCTCAAATTTATATTTCATTTTAGTTTTTGAATTTTAAATTTTTTCAAAATTATATTTATTTTTTAAAAAGAGTAAAATAAAATAAACCTGAAGATGTAGAATCTTGTTGAATTTTTTGATTGCCTGAATCTAATACATATGACGTCGGGTATATATATATTATATAAAAGAACAGAGAAAGCACACAAAATTAGAGGATGAGACCATAAAAAAAAAAACATAAATATAGTTAGTGAAATCATGGATAAGATTTGGGAGGTGGGGATGACTCATCTAATTTGGTCAAAATTAGACAAATTATTATAAAAAAACAATTACTTTATAAAGAATTTTGGGTAATTTTCATTGGTCACATCCACACAAAAACCTTATATTAGTGCTCAATCTCAATATTAGGATTACCATTTTGGGGAAATTAATAAATTATTAAACCTTTTTTTAGCTAAAATTTATCTAAAAATTGTAGTTTTAAAATTTCTCATTGACCTTCCAAGTTTACTGACGACTAATAAGGATGTGGGTCGGGAAACATACCCAATCATTCAAAAATTTCAACTGGGCAACCATAGGAGCCCTAAAGAGAACATGGACAAAAGGGTCGGGGAGCATACCCAATCATTTATTATTAACCGACCATTTACCCTTTATTGATCCGTGGATCAACCTATTACTTCACCATTGTCTGAACAACCTTCTGATCCCAATTCATGTACTACTTTAATGGGCAAAAAGATTTTAGATAAAGGGTTTGGACTACGGTGGATTTGTAGGGGTAATGGCAATAGGTTCAAGCAATGAGGATTGAACGTAAAGCTGCACTCGATTGGTGGAGTTTTAGGCGGACCTAAACCCTTTATGTTCTCTTGAATGAAGATTTGAAACCTTGAATTCTTGATTTATGGTATCTATATGGGTAGCGTGACGGGTATCAAAAGTAGAAAGGGTAAGAGAAATTTGATAGCGACGAAAAGTGTGGTGTATAATGGGAGTTACATGATAAGGCAGAGGGGAAAAGGGGGAAGAAGATAAATGGAAACAGATATCCAAATTCTAGTGGATATATATGGTAGGTTGAGTCATGATGGAGCTGATATAAATGCTAACAAGTTTGGTAGACAAAGAATGGTACTACGAACAGTGCTTAGATCCTTCAACCCCCCTTTTTATATTATATCAATTTCAACCTCTCTTTTTAACATCATAAACAACAGAGCTTTAACTATGGAAGAGATGGGTCACCCTCCATTCTCCTCCTCACAGAGCTTATCCACACCCTCCAATGGACAGAAAATTGATATCTATGGCACAAAAATGAGTACCCATTTCCCAGAAAATGATATCTACTTCGTTCTTGTTCATCTCAGTCAGCCAAAATGAGTATCAAAAAGAGGGAAAATCATGAACTAATTCTGCAACTGTACTCATAATCATACTATACCAATATGAACTGTAAATCTTACAAATCAGAGGAAGTGAAGAACTTGGAGAGATTTCAAGAAAAATCAGAAATTCACTTCATCTCCAAGCTTCTATAATCAAGAATCCTGTTGTTTATGGTAAGAAAATCATACCCAACGCTGCTGTTATTCCCACTGGAAGTCCCAATATTATACACAATTTTGCAGTGGCAGTCTTTGCTGTTCTGTAATCCCAAACTACAAGCAAAACAGAGGCTCTTGGCTACCATTTTCTCAGGGTGTGGCTGATATGGTGGGCTGATTCTGAGCTCTAAGTTCAAATCTGGGCACCGTTCTTCATTTGGGGTTTCGATTTCTACGTTTTTAATATCATCTTCAACAGCCATGGATGATTTCTCTTCCATTTTCACATCATTAGAACTGAAAGAGATCGTGGTTGAAGCCGTTTCCTGAGCAGGCTCGTTGATGGGGCGATGAGAAACAGGGTCGATTCCTCTGTTCAAGAGCTTTCTTCTAATATGAGTGTTCCAGTAATTCTTAATTTCATTATCTGTTCTTCCGGGCAATCTCCCAGCAATCAAAGACCACCTAAATCAAAATCAAACCCCATGAATTAAAATGCTCAAACAAAACATTCCTCATCGAAATTTCCCCCAACTTACTTGTTACCCAGTAGGCTATGAAGCTTGATTATCAGTTCATCTTCTTCTTCGGTGAAATTTCCGCGCTTAAGATCGGGGCGGAGGTAGTTAATCCACCGCAATCGACAGCTCTTCCCGCAGCGGAGGAGACCGGCGGCTTTAGGAAGAGAACGCCAACAGCCTTCACCGTGAGCACGAATATAAGCGATGAGGCGCTCGTCTTCTTCTTTGGTCCACGCACCTTTGTTTGTGTGCGCTTTTTCGCAGCAGGGCGACCTACCCATTTGAGCTCGCGGAAGAACAATCAGAAAAATCGATTGAAACCCAGTAGGGGTTGTGGGTCTGTGCCGCCGTTGGTCGGAGTTTTAGTAAACAATTTCTTTTGCTTTGTGGTTGCTGAAAATGGCGGTTTTCCTTTTCGTGTCGCTGCAGGAACGCTCAGCCCAGCCCTTCTCTGAAATTTGGGCGTACCTTTATAGCCTTTTGACGGGATAATTTCAAAATTAATTTTCTTTTTTAAAAAAGCATCTAAATAGTTTTAAACATAAAAATTTAAATAATCGCCGCGTTAGTGGGTGTTAGTGGAACCGTGATTGTTCTATAATTGTTCTAACTCAGCAAACAAGTTAGCTCTAAGAAATTTGATCGTCACAGACAATGCTTGTATATGTTAAGGCCTCGAGTCACGTTTGCTAGAAATATTTTAGAAAACGTGAGCGAAGAAATACATTTAAAAACGATTTGAAAGAATTGAAAAAAGTAACGTTATATGACTATAAGCAAATAAAGGAACACCATAGCTTAAAGGAGTAGAGTTATTGGGCACGAGGGGAAGAGAAGCTAATAGGGTTTTGTTGAAGTTCACAAACTCGTGTATGTCGTACAATAGTTCCACATCCACAAGTCACATATGAAACTCATCGTGTACATGAATTTCGTGGCACCACTGAGTAGGCTTTGCTTCCACATACTGTGTCACCTCAGGTAATTCGTGCATCTAGCACACTCTTTACCTTAAATTGTAAGCACGAGACTCAATTTATTTAGTTATGTAATAGCTCAAGCTCACTGTTAGTAGATATTGTCCACTTTGGCCCGTTTCGTATCCCTCACAATTTCAAACGCGTCTATTAGGGAGAAGTTTCCACACCCTTACGAGAAATGTTTCGCCCCTCTCCAACCTAGATATGGGATCTCACAATCCACATCTCTTGGGGACCTAGCAACCTCACTGGCACACCACCCAATGTCTGGCTAACAACTAACTCCACCGCTAGTAGATATTATCCATTTTGACTCATTGCGTATCGCCATCAGCCCCTTACAAAAAATGTTTCGTTCTCTTCTCCAATCGATATGGGATCTCACAAGTTACTTATAAGCTAGAAGACGAGCTAACTTAACCATGGTTAGTGTGCACGATTTAGGTTTACAACTAAACTATATATTTAATTTTTAAAAAGGGGTAATTGTTTCTAGATGTGAGTTGGTGAGATAGGTTAGATAAGAGGAATGGCTGGTGGTGGCCTTTATTTTCTCTCTCTTTCATCATATATATTAAAGTTTAAATCATATAATAAAAAAAATATATGTATATATTAAAGTGTTAAATATTTTAATAACTATTATTGTATACTAATTTAATTAACTAATTAATTAATTTTAATTGCGTCTCTAAATGTTGCTTCACTCACCAGACAGCATGTACTATCATGCACATTCACAGCTTATATATTCTATAAATGACATAAGGGAACTAACTACCCATTTATATTTTTGATCAATTATTTGGTACACATGCCCCCACCCCCACATTGTTTAGTGGCCTTTGCATCCTAGACAAGCAAAAGTGGGAAAATATCAACTTTTTTTCAAGTGGGTTCTCGTAATTTATTATGTTTTTTTAATAGGAAAAAGTCTCGAGATCAGATGTATTAGAAGTGAAGATGAATTTAGATCGTGGGTGGAAACGATTCAACTTGTTCTAATACTATTTTAATCAAAATGGGTTTTGATGATTCGTTCTCAAACTATAGGGATTATGGGTATCAGACCAAGGTAACGATCCTCTCACTCGCCTTGACCAATGACAGATCAGTCCGATTAAAGATCGTCACTGCAAAATGGGTTTTTGTTTCTGGCTCAAAGGGGCAAAGGCATAGGTATGCCATCTCCCACTACATACCTATCGGGGGGCGGCACAACCACCAACTAAATGAGTGATTATGTCTAGTATGATGAAAGAATCGTGTGGCACAGTGAAAGGTTTCACGACGAGGTTAACAAATGAAGATGAATTTAGATTTGAGAAACAGAAATGACACAAGTTGTTTTGACACGGATTTCTTCAAAATAGGGTTTTGATGAATGATCACGAACTAAGAGATTATGGGGCTGGAATGCTCGATTCAGTGATGGATAAATCGAGATGTAGAGTAATATTTGTTAATATTAGGTAGGTAGAAATGCTCGGAACACGATAAAAAATTGTGCTTGCTCGTGCAAATAAATATTAAAGATGGTATGGTAGTTGTGGATCTTTTTTCTTTAGGTACACTATGATTCACCAAGAGAATAGGGGGGAGAGCACATTAATAATAATAATAATAATGTGTTGGGGAAAAGGGTTTCTAGAAGAGTTTGGAGTTTGGTGTGATGATGAAAGAAAGAGCAAAAAAAAAAAAAAAGATATATAATGAATGTGGGTTATGGTTGTGGTTGTGTGGCCTTTGGTTTCTCCTTCTTTTTTAAACCCTTGTGGTGCAAGTTTGTGCAAAATGAGTATAATGAGTTGGGTATGAGAGATTCCTTCTTTGTTTCTTTCTACACTCAAATTGAGCAAAAACGAGCGAAAACGAACAAAAACTTTAGGCTTCACGAACAGTAATGGTGTGAGGTCCCACATTAGTTGAAGAGTGGAACGAAGTACTTCTTATAAGGGTGTGGAAACCTCTCCCTAGTAGATGCGTTTTAAAATCGTGAAGCTGACGACAATACGTAACGAGCCAAAATAGACAATATCTACTAGCGCTAGGCTTGGGCTGTTACAAATGATATCATAGTGTCAGAGAGAATTCTAGCCCCCTAAGGGGGTGGATTGTGAGATCCCTCATCAGTTGGAGAGTGAAACGAAGCATTTCTTATAAGGGTGTGAAAACCTCTCCCTGGTAGACCCGTTTTAAAACTGTAAGGCTGACGACAATACATAAAAGAATCAGTATGGGAGAGAACAAGAAAGATGGCCACTTGTGTAAAGCTTTATATGGTTTCACCTACCATTCTCGGGACGCCTTTTCCCTGTCGTAAGCAAAACCCATCAAAACAAATTAACCTTACATTCATATGTAAAAGAGCTATCATCTTTATTCCCTTGATCTGCTCCTTTTTTACTTCCAGCCTCATCTACGCTCATCTTAAATTACAAAAATACCCCCATAATACTAAAAGTAAATTATAATTTTAGTACCTCAACTTTCACATACGGATATAAACCTATCTGATTCGTTAAGTTTCAATTATGTGTTATCAGGTAAACGTATTTTAGGATAATGTTTGAAAGGACATGGAAAAGTGATTAGCTTGTGAGGGCAAGCTGTTTCCTTGTTGTTTGTCCTAATCATTTAGGTCTAATGTTTGATTATAAATTAATATTCACCACCACACCATCATGTCTCTCTACCCCAACCAAACCTTGTTAGCACAATTCCATTGCCTCACCACCACATGCCTTTTGCTACACAAGGAGACAACACACTACCCCACCCTATTTTTTAGGGTTTTTTTCGTTTTTCGAGGTTAAATTTGTCATATTTTATTTTAACGGATACCCTATGTAGGGTAGTGCGAACACAAAATTTGATATTTAGTTCGAAAATAGGTATTATGCAATGTAGACGTATGTGAGCCAATGACTAAATAGAGAGATACCAATCAATAAACTAGCTAACCTAAGTATCTACGAACAGGGATTGTACCTTCCAGTAGTGATAACCTAAATAGGTTATCTATCATAAGACTACCGATACAAGACTAAAAGTCTTATGCTTGGTCTTTACTCCGTTCATTTGGGTTCATGGTAAAGTTGTCTCTCGCAAATACGTCATATTGGTCTTTTGAGCCTATAAATTCCTCTAAGTTCAATTTGATATATGAATTCCTATTCAATAGCTTCGAAACCTGCTTAGAGTTATGACATTTATCTTAATGACAATATCAGAACCTTACGATATATTTTATAAATTGATTGGATCATAAGAACAAAACCTCGAGCTCGAGCTCAAAATCAATGGATAAAATTTATATATATATATATATATATATATATAAAAGTCAAAACAAAATTTTAATAAGTGGGTTGATTAATATTAATACAGGAGTAAAGCCAGCACATGAGCACGTGGAAGTCATGTGCAAAAGGGTATTGAAAAAGACCAATCAAGGTGATCCTCAAAGCCCTTACCTACCTCTTTGGCTGTCCTCCACATGTGGGGCACCTACCCCTTCCAAAAGCAAGAATATAAGGGGCTGGCCCCACCAGGGTAGATAAACCTTTAAATTTTATTAGCTTTTTTTTTTTTTTTTTTTTTTTTTTTTTTTTTTTTTTTTTTTTTTTTTAATTATTTTGTGATATCAATATGATTGATTTGTGAGTGAGACAATTAATTTTAGATCTCACTTATTTTTTTTTTTTTTAATAAATATATATAATTTTTTGGTTCTTCCCCTCAACCCTAAAAACAAAGGACCTCCATCACATTATTAATGATGTTAAAATAATTTAATACGATCTTTAACGTGTTGATATTCTTAATGTGACATTTAAGTACTAGACCTCGACTTTCTTCGTCTTAAGCCCACCACTAGTAGATATTGTCCGTTTTGACCCATTACGTATCACCATCCGTCTCACGGTTTTAAAATGCGTCTACTAATGAGAAGTTTCTACACCCTCATAAAGAGTGTTTCGTTTCACTCTACAACCAATGTTGGATCTCACAATCCATCCTCTTAAAAGCCAAAATCCTCGTTGGCACACTACTCGGTGTCGGGCTCTAATACAATTTGTAACAATCTAAGCTCATCTACTTTGACCTGTTACGTATCGCATTCAACAAATGCATTTACTAGGGAAATGTTTTCACACTGTTATAAGGAATGTTTTGTTCCTTTCTCCAACCGATGTAGAATCTCACAGATAACAACCGAACACTTCCCTAATAGATCTTAGTATTTGTTCAACCGAGCTAGTAAGATAGCTTTCTAGTTTGACTTTAGGAATAAGAACGTAATTGGACTCGAGAAAACTAAAAGTTTAAGATTAAAATGTTGTTAAAGTCAAAAAAGAAAATCAAAGGAAAATTGGTGAAATATTGAAGAGGAGGGCATAGAAAAGCAGAATGTGGAAGACATGAAGAGGGGAACAACAAAGGCTCTGAGCACAGCACCAACCGCGGCGACAAAAGGTGCAAT